TTTACAATTAGGATATAATTCCCAGGACAATCAAGTTTTTAACAGTTTCATTTTCTCTTAATTAAAAAAGAAACACCTCTTGTGTTCTTTTAAATGCCTGATTGACCTCCAGCAATTTCTATCAAGTAGGGGTTTTTTTGTTTTTGCTTTTTATCTATTTCTTTTTGAACACTTTGAGCATAATGTTGGTAGTTTTTCCTAATATTTACATGTAAAGGATCATGATCATGTTTGTGTTGCCTTGTATTTATATTGTATTCATATCTATTATGCAGAATCATACTTTTACTAAATAAGATGTAATTTGGATGAAATAACCAGGCTAATCTGAAGTTTCTTTTTGCTCTTTGGTACTTAGTTTTTGGGTAGATAGATATATTGATTTATTCTCTAGCAATATGGTTTGTAGAAACCATGCAGATTTTCTGAGGTTAAACTGGAAATAAATCAGAAATCTTACTTACATTGACAGCTTAGAACCAGCTATCAAGGAAGAGAGTGTTTCTTTAATTAAACGACTGTAATTATAATTTTTTTTAAATTGTTATTTTGGTACAGGATCTCACTATACAGTTTGTTCTCATAGTGATCCTCCTGTCTCAGCCTTCCCAGCATTGGGATTACAGGCATGCTCCACCATGCCCAGTATCCGGACCTGCATGCCTCACCCGGGAACCTGGGGCAGCATGGTATGCAGTATCAGGGATTGAACTTGGGATCTTGTGCTTGCCAGGCAGGCACTTAGACCACCAAGCTATCTCCTCAGATAAATTCTTAACCAAGAAAAGGACTTGTTCTCTCAAAAATAAGATCCAGATTTTCCAACCAGATTTTTTTTTTTCCCAACCAGATATTTTAGTAGTGTCCCCCTACTGTTCAGATCTGAGGTGTGTCTTTGTGAGGAAGTAGAAAAACTTTACAAGTATGATTTTGATATGGTTAGTTGGGCCTTTGCAAAAAAAAAAAAAAAATCCAATTTTATATATTGTAAAATGGAAATCTGTTTTTTATTCTGGTACTATTCCTAGAAAAGAGACAGGAAATAATTCCAAAGTTTAAAGATTACCAAGATGGCTGCTTTATGCATGTAGTATAACTTTGACAGAACTGGATTGCTTATTAAGAGTGGACAGTGGTTAAGAACTAGGCAGTAATTCCTGTCTATTCTGATGTATGCAGTCATGCACAGTAGTGTAGGGTGGATTTGGGGTTGTTACGTCTTGTTCCACGCTGCCGTATAGTGTCTGGCTTTTCTGCAGGGGTTCACAAGGTCTTTCTGTTGTTACCCAGCGACTGCCCACTTGCCCTGGCCAGAAGCCTTCTGGACTCCTACATCTTTCTTACCTCTTGATTCCAATTCATAGCTATCAATGCATTGCATTTTTTTCCTTTCCCTGGCCCTAGTTCAGGTCCTCTTCTCCTGTCACTTAAAGTCCTAAATTGTGTGAATGACTTGCATTTTGACTCCTGACTTTTCATCTTGCCTCTCCCCTCCATACTAATACACTAATGTGAGAGATTATTGTCTTTATCTTGGGTGATTCCATTTACTTATATTATAAATTTATTAAAATGGCCTAGTCCTTGTTACTGTTTTCTTCTGCTGCTGTTCTCCACTTGTGTCCATTGTCCAGCTATTCTGGTATGGATGGAGTTGTAATGTTGTGGTGTCATAAATTCTTAGTCTTTGTATCTGTATTTACTTGTACCTTAAATACACACTGTCATCACCAGCACCACTTACAGCTTCCAGCAGAATTCTGTGCTTTTGTACCTACAGCTCCTGAGCTCCTTCACAGTATTTATCATACTCATTTTTATTATCTTACTGTTCATGCCATGCTCTTAGACTGAGGTGTACTGAGTAAATTTTTATATCAAAAAGAAAGGAATTCTGAAATATACAAAGCATAATGTCAGACAACTAAAATTTTAAAATGAAAAGCAAATAGAAAATAATGTTAACTAGCTCTTGCCAACAGTAGCCACTTTTCTTTTGCCTTTCCCTTCCCCATTATCTGGTACTCAGCAGTTATTTCTTTTGTACTCTGTCCAGCTGTATCCCTGACAGGATTTCCCTGTTGTCCATTACTTTTTTTTTTAATCCACTTCAACATGCAGTCACAAAGTAAATATCTCTGGAGATCACTAAGTAAAAAAGGATGGATTAAGAATTAAGATTATATACTTAATGAAAATTTAGATTGACTGAGTAAAACCTGATTTCGAAATAGACTGTTTACTATGCACATCTCCTGAATTAGCGTATGACTTGATATAATTTAGTGTCTGTGTTCATTTGATTTTATTTGGTATGCAATATATTTAACCCCCATATAAATTCTTTATATTTTTCCTTATAGGTTCTGGATCCCTCAGAGCAAAATTTGATCTTTCAGAAGGCCCCACTAAACCCACAACACTTGCAGTACAATTCCTTAGTGAGGGAAGTACCCTCTCAGGAGTTGATATTGAACTTGTTGGCACTGGCTATCGGCTTTCCTTAGTGAAGAAGCGATTTGCCACTGGTAAGTTGGGGGGTTTTGAACTCTTTAATGTACATAGGAAACATTTGTATTCTTTTTTTTTTTTTTTTCCGCAACCGGAGATGGAACTCGGGCCCTTGCGCTTGGTAGGCAAGCACTTGTTCTACTGAGCTAGCTCCCTCCCTGGCCCCTGTAATGTATTTCTGACAGCAAGTGGGACTAGGGTTTTCTGTGATTGAAAGGAGAAATATTTATTTGAAGCAGTAATTACGAAGGTCTTCTTGGTGTTTTTCAGGACGTTACTTGGCAGATTGTTGATCAACCTGGGAAAGTTGGTGGCTTGAAGAAGTACAAACCTGCCATTCTGCATTACCTATACTTTCCAAACACTAGTCTAACTTGTATGTTGTCTTTCAAAGCTTAAATATATTTGAGAACTTACTACAGACATTAAATCGCACTTTTAAAGTGAGTCATTGAAAGAAATAGCACTGAAATGATTTTTATACTGCAAATGATCAAATGCAATATTCAGGAAGCATATCTTTATATTCTCAATAAAAATGTTTTCATAGGCTGAAATTTTAAATTATCTTCAATGTCTATATTGAAGAAAGGTGGTAATGGTATAATATCATGCCTAAAATTTCAGGAAAGCAAGCACAAAATTATTTAGCTTTCCATAAATTTTTAGAGTCAAATAGTTTTGAGATTTCGTAAGTTTGTTATTGAGTGGATACAAACAGTGTGAATTCTAAGTTTTAGATAATGTTAAACTCAAGAGTGCTCAATCAGATTGAGTTATGTGCCATAAGTTAATCAGAACAGAGTCCACGTAGTATGCAAAAAATATATAATTTGATTCTGATAAACATATTAGTGAAGTGTAAATGGTGTTTTATATGATTTTTTAAAAAATTCTCAAGTGCAATGTGTTTTAAAATAAGCTTACAAAAGACAGCGGAGAATTTACTTCTACAGTTAACTTTATAGTTGTGATTTTGTTTGATTAATGCTGTAGATTTTAATTTATTTTTATATGGATTGCATAATATGTGCCTTTTAAAACAATAACAAAAGCCAGAAATGTGCCTGTCTCGTTTGTGTTCATTAATGTGCCTCACTTTTTTTCTCATAGTTTGTATCTTCTGTTCAGAATCATACAGTGGTCAAATAGTTTTTGCAGGATATTTGTAATTTTTGTGAATACTTTTGGCCTGCAATTGGGAAGGGAATTAAAAATAACTAAAAAATAATTTATATTTAAGAATCAAGGCTCACTTCATTAGTGAAACACTGTAGCCACTAAAAAGAGAAATAAGCCAAATGGAGTATAGTATGTTTACTGGCAAAAAAAAAATTACCTTCAGATATTTAACATTAACTTATGAAAAGTGAAACAGATAAGTTCTGAAAAACTGTGATGGCAAGTTGGTAACTGGTATTTTAACTCTTAATTTAGCATTTCCCTTATCTCTGTTTACCATTGAGAATGTACACATTTACTTACTAATTATGTTATGAAACATGCTGTAATATTTTATGAGGAGTACATTTTTAAAGTATAAATTTTGGCAACTGGGAAGAAGTATTGTTACTTATTTCATTTTAACAGAAAAATTACTGATTTGTGTGTTTTTATTGTTGTTCAAGTCCCACATGGTAAAAATAAATTATTAAAAGTGATGAAATGAGCTAAACATTTCTTAAAATAGGCTGCATTTTCTGCACAGTGCAAAGCCTAATTTTGTAGCAAATTCTGATTATTTGAAGAAATGTTATAATTTGGCAGTTTCATAATCTACAAGTGGGAATTACTTATGATGATAAATACGAGTCTCCTTCATTTTGCATAGTTGAAGTGATAACTTGTGTTACATAAGATAATTTATATAAACCACTAATTGTTCTGTTGAGCTTTACAGAAAATAAAACCCCTATTCTAGATATTTAAGTAATGTCTTGCTATACTAAATACAGCAGAAAATTCACTCCTTAGTAATATATAACACAGCATGTGTATTTTTTATATATTCAGCATTAGCCCAGTTCTAAATTTAGATTTGACTAAAGCATACCTAAGACAATTTTCTAAATCGTTAATCTTTACTGAATAGCAAAATTAGAATTTCTGACTCTTACGTTATTCTTAAATGTCAATTACAAGCTTTACTGGAATTTTAACTGTAAATCTGCTTTGCAATCACACTGCTTGGCTTGGGCAGTTAATGTTTTATTCTTGGAATTCAGACACTATTACATTCACCATGTTTTTTTTTTTTAATCAAGTATTACCTAAAAATGTACAAATTAGTGAAATGGTTAAACTTCTGCACTTTGTCAATTACCAGTCTTCATACCAAGTGTTGATACATAAATTTATATTGGATACAGGTTACAATTTTGAAGCCATATGAGTTTTACTGATTTTTTTCATTTAAGAATCCACTAATGGTGTAAAAGAGAGCAGTAGATTTTCTGTGGGAAATGTATCTAGCAAGCTGGTTCTTGCTTGTGTATAGTGATTAGACTTTGTAACTGTCTCTTTAACCAGGAATTTGTAAACACAGAACTCTTAACAAATGTTTTTAAGGGTTATTTACTACTCTGGGTTGTAATTAGAACAATGCACATCTATCTTCCAAAATTTTGTAAATATTTTCGATTTTTTCATAAAATGTAAATTTTACATAAAAGTTGTACCCTAATAAACATGTAATATATAATTTACCAATTGGCTTATGCGTCTTGTATTTCTATTAATAGCTGATGTATGTCATTGCCTTTAGGACAGTGCAGTCTGGGCAAGGCGTAATTGAGTTTGAACTTTATACCAATAACAAATTGAGCTGTTAACTTAGCTTCCATTGGTCATAGAGAAAACTTTATTGGAGTACGTTTCTAAAATGCTGAAATTATTTTTCAGGGGGTTATTTTGCATGTATTTAAATTGACATTAAGCTTTAACAGAGACTTTCTTCCTGATCAGTTGCTTAGGAACACAGTTTAACCCTATTTTCTTATTTTGTTTTCTGTATTTAAGACAGAGTGTACAGGGTTACAGGGTCTTACTGCATTGATCAGATTTGTAGTGATCCTCCTATTTACAGCCTCCCAGGTGCTGGGATTACAGGTACGTGCCACCACGCCCAGTCTCAGTTGCTGTCACAGCGCACCCCATAGGCATGGCCGGCACAACAGGCTAGGGGATAGAACCCCTGGCCTCTGCATCTGCCTAAGCAGGTACTTCAGTCCGCTTTGCTATTTGGCCAGCCATGCACACTATTTAAAAATCATAGTGTACCAAAGATGTAGTCAAGACCATTAAGCCTAGATGGTGGATTTAAAGGGAAGCAAAACAAGAAAAACAAGAGTTATTTATTATAAATATTAAAAATTTGTTTGAATCTTTCATAAATGGGACCAAAGGTCCCCACTGTCTAGATCAAATTGAGATTTCTCTAGAAAGGCCTGTGCTCTTATTCATCACATGTACATCATCATATTTTCTATTTATTCTCTTTTCTCCTTATCCTCACTCTCACTTCTCTTAGGAAACAGCATGCTAGTTGTGTAATAACCCTGCTGCCTCAGGGGCTGATCAGAATACTGTTTTGCCTTCATCTAATCCTGTGTGCTCTGCTCCATACAGTACAGGGCTCCTCCCATGCCCTGCTTCTACTCCGATTTCCTGCATTTGGTCAGCAGTGGGGAAAGACAAGTTTCTGGTGCCAAACACAGAGGAGGGATGAACACTTCCACTCACTTGCCCCAAGAGCCAGGACTGGAACTTGGACATGTTGGACTGTGTGCTCAAGAGGGGAAAAAACAAGCAGGATTTTGGTGAATGGAGCGGTCTGCTGTCACATATCCTACCATTACATTCCCTGTTCCTGTCTCAAATGTGCATTTAATGGTGTCTATGGCTTTCTGTAGGTTCTATTTTTCTATTCTGTTGTTATATGTAGATTTTTTATCCCTGTTTTTAAATATTTTCTGTACTTCTGCTAATGATTATTTCTGATTGATCATTTATGATAACCAGAAACCATTGTTCACAGATTTAGTAGTATTTTAACTGTCAGTAATGTTTTTAACTTCAAGTAGTAGCAGAAAACAAAACTAAAAATAGTTTAAGCTGAGACAAAAAGGCTGTTTTTGACATTGTGAACTTAGCAATGAGCAGGCAATTTTTTTTTTTTTTTAAATGCATTCGGTACAGGGATTACACGGTCTCACTATGTAGATCAGACTCGAGTGATTCTGCTTTTAGCCTCCCAAGTGCTGGGATTACAGGCGCATGCCACCACCCCCAGTCCCAATCGCTGTCTTAGCACACCCCTGGGACGGGGCTGGCACAGCACACTGGGGACCAAACCCCGGCCACTGCGCTCTGCCTAAGCAGGCACTTCAGTCCACTGAGCTATCTGGCCAGCCCCTGAGCAGGTTGAATTTGAAAACAAGTGTTTTGCTTGATTTCTAGGATAATAAATTGACATAATCTTTTAACAATTTGGAGTCTAAAGGCTCATGTTTTTATTTTTAATCTGTGTATCTTTTAAAGCAGTAATTATTTGGGAAATATGTTCTAAGAAAATAATGACAAGTAAATAGGTATACAAAGATTTGATGAGTTAAATACTATATAGCTTTTAAAAAAAATCTATAATCATTGATGTTGAAATACTGTGATGGTATTGTTAAATGTTAAAAGGTAATATGACATTTTTATTTATAGAAGTGCACACATCGAGAGATACATTTTTGTAGTAACATTCACCAGGCTGTTGTGTCTCATGTTAGTGGAATTTTTATTTTCTATAAATGTTGTATCTAAATTTCATTTTCTTTTTGCAGGAACTTTCTATTTCAGAAGTTTTAAAAAGAGTGAGTTGAACTTTGTTTTAATATGAACAATGTAAAAGATCTCTTTACATTGAGATTTTCCTTATTTTGATCATTGTGTTAGCCTTCTGCTTGGCCTTGTATTATTAATATATGACATTTTGGTGTTTTGCTTTTTTAATGTACTTGGTTGTTACAGGGTCTCACTACACAGGCTTAGACTCATAGTGATCCTCTTGTTTTCAGCCTCTGCAGCACTGGGATTAAAGGTGTGTGCTACCACGCCCCAACTCTGGCTGGCTCAGTCTGCCCTGGGGGGACAAACCTCTGTCCCTATGCTTGCCTAAGCTTGCCTACGCAGGCGCTTTAGTCTCCTGGGCTATCTCACCAGCCCTGGTGTTTCATTTATAAGGTCTGGAAGTTTTCTTGCTCTTTTTATACTCCTCTTTTCCACCCTTTTCAACCTCTACATTAAGTGCCATAATTCATTTCATGTAAGAACACAGAACCAGTTGTTTATTTTGAGAACACATTTTGTGAGTTTGCCTGCCTGCCTGTTTTGGGGGTTAGGCATGGTACTAGGGTTTGAACCCAAAGCCTTTATGTTGAGCTGTATCCCCAACCTTTTTTATTTTAAGAGTTGCCCAAGCTGGGTTTGAGTCTGCAGTCCTCCTGTCTCAGCCTCCCAGAGTTCTGAGATTATAGGTGTGTACCATTACACCCAGCTCCAAATTACTCTCTTAAGAAGAAAAATATGATCCATAGAAAAGACAGAAGATACCTTTTAGGAAAAATTGAGAGCCTTTTAAAGTTCAGAACCTTAATGCTATCACCTTACTGAATTAGTGAGTAATTTGTACCTTCAAAATTTCCACAATGACCTGAAGAATGAGCTTGCAAGTGGTGACATGTGTTGTAATCCCCACGCTGTGGGAGGCTGAGGCAGGAGATCCAGTTTTGAGCTAAGCCTAGGCAGTTTAATTGTGATTGAGGACACTATCTCTAAACAAAAGGCTGAGGACATAGTGTAGTACAAATTCCCAGCCTTCAATCTTCAGCACTGTGCAAAAGAAAAGTTAGTGAGCCTAGATTTTATTTTATTTTTTATTGTTTATGTTCAGTTAAATGATTCATTGGTTCATTGGTTAGATTTTTTTTTTTTTTTTTTTTTTTAGTTATTACGGAGTCTGTGGGGTCTCACTATAAAAATTGGATTTGCAGTGATCCTCCTGACTTCAGCCTCCCAAATACTGGGATTACAGGCAGGCACCACCGGGAACAGTCTCAGGCACCACCTCAGTGTGCCCAGGGATGGGGCTGGCATGGTATGCCAGGGATTGAACCTCGGTCCCTGCATCAACCTAAGCAGGTACTTTAATCTGCTGAGCTATTTGGCCAGCCCTCAGAAATTTCTTGAGTTAATTTTAAAAATTTCAGAAAGTGTGGAGCATATAATTTGAAACCATCTCTGATGGTTGTACACTTGAGAAATTGTATTTCAAGTTTTCAAGTGTA